CTCCACTGGCAACTTGTTGAGCAGATTATCTTGCGGAGCAGGCGTCCGCGCGGCATGTGAGCTGTGATCTTCAGCCGCTCCGACTTCTGCCACAGGCGAGCTGCTCGAGCTGGGGCCAGCCGGGGCAGCTGCTTCAGGGCCGTATTTTCTGGCTGCGTCCTTCGCATCGGCCAGAAGCTGCTTCACCAGGCTCTCGGTTTCCGAGGTTGCGCCCTTCATCAGCCAGCCCACTGCGTCGCCGCGCTGGATCTCGCAGCTCGCAGTCTCCACTCCGATTGTTGACGCCTGGGCGTCATCGAAGGGTTTGCCCACCAAGGAACGAACGGTGGAGGACTTTCCGGCTCGGCCCTGACCCAGTAAAACAAGCCGTCCTCGTCGCCAGGGTAGGTTTGCATCTGCCGCCTCACATGAACTCTTGGTTACTCTTCGTGCTTGTCGATCTGAAAACAGGTTTCGATGCCTTTAGTTAACCGTTCGAGTTGGGGCATGCCGAACAAACCAGACAGGGCACCAAAGCATCCTGCAAAGCAGACTTGGCTCTGCCGGCATAGAAGCTGACTTCGATTGGCGACGCGTCTGCGTCGGCTTCCATTTTGGAGGTCTCGGAAGTCTCCTTTTCGGTCGAGCCAGGTGGGAGAGGAGCTTCGGAGGATGCAGCTCCAAGCTCCTCCAGAAGTGGGCTGTGCTCCTGCATCGGCCAACGCTATTTCCTCACACAACACAATGCCTCAAATGCCTTCAAGGTTCCCATAGAAAACAAAAACGAATCCGAAGCTGCGGGTGCCCGATCACTTCTGTCTTTTTTTTGGTTCACTTGTGTCTTTATTTGGGTTTCGCTTGTGTCTTTGTTTTCGGGGTCGCTTCTGTCTTTTTCCTTCTTCGGAAGCAACAGTCTCGAACGAGAGGTGCCTTGGTAGGACCTCACCCCGCTCAGCTTTAGGCTCGGTATGCGTAAAGTGCAAAGGCAATCAGCTTGCTCCCTTTCTGCGTCCACATGCACATAGACATGCATGCGTAATTTAGGAGGGGGTGTCTAAACATGTGTCGATATTTATTGTATATTACACATTGAACGCATATACGTATACCTATATGTAAACTTGTAAACATATACGTACACATAAACACATGCAACTAACATATTAGTTTACTCGTTTTAGGGTTTCGTTCTGGGTTTACTCCTCTTAGGGCTTGGGCCTTCTTTCATTAGGGCTTCGTTCTGGGTCTACTCTTTTTAGGGTTTCGTTCTGGGTTTACTCCTCTTAGGGGTTGGGCCTTCTTTCATTAGGATTTCGTTCTGGGTTTACTCCTCTTAGGGGTTAGGCCTTCTTTCATTAGGGTTTCGTTCTGGGTTTACTCTTTTAGGGTTTCGTTCTGGGTTTACTCTTTTAGGGTTTCGTTCTGGGTTTTCTCCTCTTAGGGGTTGGGCCTTCTTTCATTTAGGGTTTCGTTCTGGGTTTACGCTTTTTAGGGTTTCGTTCTGGGATTACTGATCCTAGGGGTTGGGCCGATTACTCCTCTTAGGGGTTGGGCCTTCTTTCATTAGGGTTTCGTTCTGGGTTTACTCCTTTCCATTTAAAGTTTCGTTCTGGGTTTACCCCTCTTAGGGGTTGGGCCTTCTTTCATTAGGGTTTCGTTCTGGGTATACTCCTTTTAGGGTTTCGTTCTGAGTTTACTCCTCTTAGGGGTTGGGCCTTCTTTCATTAGGGTTTCGTTCTGGGTTTACTCCTTTTAGGGTTTCGTTCTGGGTTTACTCCTCTTAGGGGTTGGGCTTCGTTCTGGGTTTACTCCTTTTAGGGTTTCGTTCTGGGTTTACTCCTGTTAGGGGTTAGGCCTTCTTTCATTAGGGTTTCGTTCTGGGCTTACTCCTTTTACGGTTTCGTTCTGGGTTTACTCCTCTTAGGGGTTGGGCCTTCTTTCATTAGGGTTTCGTTCTGGGTTTACTCTTTTTAGGGTTTCGTTCTGGGCTTACTCCTCTTAGGGGTTGGGCCGATTACTCCTCTTAGGGGTTGGGCCTTCTTTCATTAGGGTTTCGTTCTGGGTTGACCCCTCTTAGGGGTCGGGCCTTGTTTCGTCAAGGTTTCGTTCGGGGTCAGGTCCTACCAAGGCACCTCTCGTTCGAGACTGTTGCTTCCGAAGCAAATAAAAGACACAAGTGACCCCCCAAAAAAAGACACAAGTGAAACCCAAATAAAGACACAAGTGACCCCCCTTCCCGAAGCTGCTCCGACTTCCTGTAGCTATTAGTATTATATCAGTTATATCTGCGGTGCTACTGAAGTGTGCTCTTGTCGGCTTGAGCAGCTTGACAGTTGCCCCTCTCCTCTTCGAAGTCTTTGGCTTCTCCGAAAAGGCTAAGGTCTTTCTCATCAGCTCCGAACAAGCTGGACGAGAAGTCTGCTTTCTTCTCCTTCTTCTTCTTGCGTGCTTGGGGCAGACCCTCATTCCTGAAGAGCACGTGGCGGCTCTGCATCAATAAGAGCCAACGAGCTACTGAGAGGTGCTTGTGAGCTTACGTTGTGACTGCAGCTATGAGTGAGTGACGCTAGCGAGAACAACTGGGACTGCTGCGACTTGCTAGGGTCGGCGAGAAGATCACCTGATCAAAGCAGGAGAACAACGGGCAATGCTGTGCATGACAACATCCGATATCGATGCGATGACTTCCAAGAAGCCTTGCCTGGCGACTCCGGATTCCGGGCTGCGGATGACGCGCTGGATGTCTTCTTCTCCTGGCATACACAAACCAGTGAAGAACATCGCCGCCAATAAACGAAGCTGGAACACCATGGTGTTCGAATGAACCCCGGATCTACAATTGGGCGTAAGCGCGGGCGTGCTGATGTGTAGATGTGCGCGTCTTCGAGCACTTCACCTCCGCAACGCCTCATGAACAGTGTGCTGCGCCTCTTGCAGACGACATTAAGGTTGGGAGCCACCCCTCGTTTAACTAAAGTGACCTACTAAGGGCCAGGAAGAACTGTGGCCTGCATTAGCTGCTGTGGACCTTCTGTTCTGCGAGCATTCGGCAGGTGTCGCTCTGACTCATGCAAAAACAACTGTTCAAGCACCGAACGTGGCCAACACTAAGGTTGCCAAATACTTCATCGATATCGGTTGGGCCCTCGAGACGTTTTCTACTTGGCTTCCTCCCCAGGAAACACCTGAAAGCTTTCAACGTGTCTTTCCGATGATTCGGATGACCGAAGTCACACGAAGGCGAGTCCTTGGAACCCGAGTTGAACCTGTTCTTCATCAGAGCTGCGCGCTGACGACGTAGAGAGCTCTGCAGGTTAGAATCATGAGAAGATGCTGAATGATGCTTGTGGCTCATATGGCTCATATCCCTTGCGTGACACAGCTGAAGCTATGCTTCTTCTACCCTCTTCGATATGGGGGACTTAGGATCTCTTGATATGTCTTGGCTTGTGCTTTCCGACTTGGCCAGACATCTGCTGGCTCCTGGCCCTTGAGCTGTAATGGCTGGGGCGCGATCGTCGGTCCGTGACCCAAGACCTCAAGTGGATTTTGCCTGTTCCGCAGCAAATCTAGACAATGATCTTGCCAAGCAGGTCCTGACGACCCGCAAGACGTGGCTTCGAGCCACCCTCCTGCTCGCCAGCGAAGCTCTGGAGCTTGATTTCCTGACAGCTGGCACTATTCCCCCCCCTTGTTGCCCACGACGCAGCTGGGGCCTCGCCAGGACTCGTCGGAGGGTGCGTTCGGTCTGCAAAGTAAGAGCTGTAGACCTACAAGGTGATCCGTGGAAGGGAAGGACATCCTGAAGCCTTGAAGGCTGTGTCGCATCCTGAATCCCTCAGATTGAGTATCCCAAAAAGCTTTCATGTGCTGTCTGCCTTGAAGTCCTCATGGTGCTCCTCGGTTTCTTCGCTTGGGCTCGACAGTCGTTCGAGCCGCTCCTCCAGTTGCGCTTCAGACAGGAAAGCTCATGAGCGTTGACTTCTGCAACGCGACCTCACAAGCATCAGATGCGATGCATGACAAGATGAGTCGAGCATTTCGGCAAGAAGACATCTGGTCGACTGTATATACTCTCACAGGAATTCATTAGGATTGCCCAGCCGGAGGCTCACCGTTATTCAAGGAACTCATTTACGCTCCCTCTACAGTACAGGGCTGCCGGTCTGATCGAGATCTCGCGATTCTCCGTGCTTGCCCCGAAATTCTATCAGCCGCATCTCGAACGCAGGAATCGCCCGACATGAACATGCCGAGTCGGCGGAAGACAGATTTGCCGAAGCAATAGTAAATCACAACATGCTTGTAAGTGCTCGCAAAACAAACGGCCTATCTATCTTATTTACATCAGTCTTCACATCCCATTCATGATGTCGAGGTACTAGTAGTGTTTGCCATGTGCCACGACAGCAACTTCTCATCCGAAACCATGTAGAAGGAACCAATGTGGCGTTACGTACGTGTCGCACTCACGGCACGAGTAGCACATACATTGCAGTCATGAAACAGATGTCACCATGAGCATTTTGCACCTCAGACTTTTGGAGATGCTGCTGATAGTTCACGTGCTGTGGCTACACCAAATAACAATTTATGAGCATTTGCACACTGTTGGTTTCAGTCTTATGTCACACCTTCTCTACCGGTGCACTTGTTCTCTTCCTACGTGTCATTCCTGTCCTGTGCCCCTCCCAGGCCCCCGGCAGGGCCTCTTTCTGCGACTTCCGCCGCCCAACTGCCGGCAGGTCGGCCATGGCATCTCGTGGGCTTCCGCCGCTGCGCAGGTTTCTGACGGCTCATGGAGGCTCAGGATCCGTAGATAGCTAAGTGAAAGAGGACTCAAGGCCTGGGCTTGAAGACGAGAGCTATCAAGGGCGTGGAAGGCTTCTGAAGCCCCAAGATGTCTAGGGGTCATGTTCCACCTCGCGACCACAAGATACCACAAGCCTGATGCGGTAGCAACAGCTTTTCTGGGCGTCGTTGGGACATTTCATGTCTGTCCGCGAAACTCTTCTGCCACGTCAGTCGCCAGAAAGGAACACCTCGCCATGTGCGTGCAATGAAGACGGTGGAGCACTGTGGTCACCGCTATATATCACGCTGAGCCCGTGTCCCGCAGAGTCAGCTTCGTAGGCAACATTGGATCGGTGACCTCGGCTTGTTCCACTCGCAAGAAGTGAAGAAACCCAAGAGTCTCTTCTCCGGTCCTCAGCTGAACACGGTGAGGTCTTCGCCTTGTGCGAACACCGGCCTTGGAAAGCAGCATCCACACATCCAGGCAGCAGCCCAAGTCCCTTTGAGAGACAGGGCTTGCGGAGTATTTGAGCCCTCAGACTGTTCGGACCGTTGGCAGGGGCACTCCGAAGACGTGCTGGGGAGTCGGCGGATCTGCCTTCGTTAGCTCTTCCAGCGTCATCTTGAGCTTGTACCTTGGGCGTCACGAGTCTGGAATTCGTGGATTCGCCTCAGCGGCTAAGGGCCGTGCTCATGCTGCTGGCGGATGGGCTTAGGGTTCTGCATGAAGACGATGCCACTCGTACCTGTGGAGATGCAAGGCATTGGATCTGTCATGGGACATTGTATGGACATTGTAGCACATGGGCACATGGAAAAGCTCGCTCTTATTCAAAGCATCAAGAACCACGATTTTTCACATTGATGTGTGTCGCCAAGACTTCTGAGCAATTCAGCCCGGCGTGCTCTTAGAGCCTGAAGTTGATCTTCATGAGCCACGCGCTCCCTGAGGATTTGCCTTTGCAAAGACTCAAGGGCTGCAGTTGCTGCGGCCTGTCCGGCCTCCGCCTGCAGCTCAGCGCACTTTCTTTCTAAGTGACGAAGCTCCGCGGCTTGCTGATCGCACTCTTGGCGCAGCTCGTGTGCGGCTCTGGTGTGCTCCGATGATGGCCGTCCGCGAACCATCTGGTCAATGCTCTCCCCGTTACCCTTGCCAGCGACCGTGGCAAGGAACTTCGGGAGCGTCAGACGTTGCCAACGCTGGGCCTCTTCCACAGCGTCCTCCACTGCTTTGGCCGAGGCATGGGAAGCCTCCGTGGCTGCCTGGAGATGTGCCTCCAGATGCTTCCGCCTGCGAAGCCAGGAGCTCAGCTCTTTGCGCCCGTCACCGAAGGCCTCGGTTGCGGCTTGCAGCTGCTGAACCAGATTCTCCACGGAATCCTCCTCAGCTTTGTCCACCTCGGTCTCGAAGAAGGGGAGCTCCGTCAAGCTTGACAAAGTAGGGTCGAAGGAACCACTCCGGCCTTCACGCTGGCGAGTCATTCTCAGCTTTATGGGCCCTGGACTTCGCCTTCTTCCTACACTGATGGAAGGCTGCGCTGGCCCTGGCTGAAGCTGGGAGAGAGCCAACTTTCGGAGAGCATCGGGGTAGCGGCTGCCGCTCAGTTCAACGACGCCGCCAGAAGGATCGCATGGCAGGTTCGGGCTCGGCTGCGAAGGACAGCTGCCGCTAGAAGTCATCTCCTGATCCAAAACAGCGATCCGCAACTTTGGCATAGTATCTGCAGGATGCGCTTCAGAGGGTGGCATGCGGCGGGTGGTGAGTATGCTTTTGCAGGTCATGCTGTTGCTGAGGCTTTGGCTCGACACCGAGGGCCTTGCGAGACTGCAACAGCTCCAACACATAGAGCTGCGCTCCCTCTGCCTCGACAGCTGGTAGCTTGGACTCGCCCCGAGGTGGTCGAGCAACTCCTGCCACAAGTTCATCAACCGAAAGAGGAAGCGGGGTGGGGGCGAGCGGCGGGTCCGACCTGCAGTGTCGAGGTTCGAGGCCTTGTCAAGGTGAGTGTCGCGCCTCCGCAAACCATGCCTCAGGGTGTCTCAGGCTCCGCAGCACAGTGAGCTCACGGGGAACCCGTTGCTGACCAAGTCCGGTTCAATCGTCCTTCTTTTCGTATGGGAAGGTATGAGTGTAAACGCCAGTCCTCGAGTACGGGAGCAGCTCTGAACACACATGCCCCGGCAAAACATCTGAGGCAGGCACTGCCCCATATACATCATGTAGTTGTTCAGGACAGGACCGCAATAGGTTGACACCTACCACATCACAAAAGAGCAGATTAGAAACTGCAAGGCCGCGCATGTGGGCATCCGGCCTTCAATGCCTCTGCCACAAGCGCCGCAGAGATTAGTGCGTTGGTTGACCTGGAGTTAGAATTAAACTCCACCCGGCGACATCACAGATTCCATCTATGGCTAGCACGCAATTGCCGGAATGATTCGCTTCACCACTCCCATCGTCAACTGGTAGGTGACTCCCTGCTACAAAGCACGTCGCACCATCGCAGTGCTAGGGGGACAAGCGCGGCCCTTCTCCGCCTGAATGCCGAATGTTTCAGCTCGATCCTGAATTTGCAGCCGTAGCTATTGTGCCGACCACTGCCAATGTCAAATGGAACGTGCCTTGGCTGTCTCGTAGATCCATTGCATGTCAGCTACAGAGTCCGTGTTCATCTTCTGCCCGGGGAAGCGCTGCTCCTGTGGCATGGACAGGAGCTAGCGCGGCTAGCGTGGCACTGTTGCCGGAGATGATGCTCTCGGAGGAGGTCTCCCACATTACCACCAGCGCATACTCGATGCAATGTTCCGGCAGTCGAGGCCTCGCGAAACCCCGGCACAGCAAACGTCCCCAACCGGATGTATCTAAGTCATGCATGATCTATAACCAACCATCCAAAGAAAGCAGAGAAGCGTCTCGGCGATGGTGCAGAGCGGGTAGTTCACCTAGACAAGCACATCTACAAAATTATTTGATTTTCAAGCTGTGCATCCTCGCGTTTGCTATTGAACCCGGCCTGCGGAGGAAATGCGTCCAGAGAGCAGTCGAAGCAGGACCTGCTGCGAAGTGACCGTCTTTGCTTACAGGGGAACGTGGATCTCTCATCTCCGAGCTGTGAGCGTCATCGAGGGAATGATGACTCGAGCCTGTCCCACGCGAAGAGGCAAACGGCGAAGAGGCGTGAGGCTCTGGATCAGTCGAGTCCTGGCCCTTGAAGCCCTCTGTGCCACCATCCTCGAGAAAGAGGTGCAGTCAAGAAACTGTAAGTTCACACTGAACGTCTGAGGCCGGCGGCAATAAGAGGAATGATGGTGCTTGGATCCGGCCTGGGCTCGAGCATCATAAGCCGTCCGTTCTGTCTCGACATGGATTGCCCAGGTTTCGGCTCGCCAGAGGTGCGGTCGATCATGTCATGCAGTGTCGCATTCATCCACCTGTCTTCTTCAGACTGCTCTGAAACAACTTCAAAAAATGGCAGTTCGGCAATCTATCGATGCTGCGACCTTCTAGCCGCGATGTTGTCCAGCCCGGCAATGAGCAGGTTAAACCTCGGGCTTGCATGCAGGCGCCACCAAACGATGAACCCTCAAATCCCTCTCTGAAAGCTTATGCTCTTTGGCTCGAAAGACTGTGAGGCTGGCTTCCTATAGAAGGTCTCGTCAAAATCCTGGATTTTCCCGACGTGCGGCGTGACCTTCCAAGATGGCCCCTCGGAGGGACCTCTCAACCGGCCTACCGAGCCGTTGCCTTCGTCCCAATGTGCCCGAGTCGTCGGTTGATGAAGGCTGCTGCGACTTCAGCTTTCGGCTTGCCCACATCCGCCTGTGGCACTGTAGCATGTACTTTAACCTCTGGGTGCGCTCGCAGATAGACCTGACGAAAGAGAAATTGTCTGTTCAGATTGGTGACCTCACAAAGGCAAGCGCGAACGCTTTGCTCCTTGAGGTTCTTGCTGCTTCGATGCTCAGTCGCTGGCGTCAATTGTGTCCATATCTATGACCTGTGCAGCCGCAAGCAGGTAAAACTCCCATGTACCCAAAACATGCAGTTCGTAAGGTGGCGGGCATGGATGTCAGGGAAACCTGACAGGGCCAGGTCCTGCCGGTGCGTGAAATCCAAAGAACTGCTCAAATCCCAGCGATTTCTCCTTGAGGATTTCGCATCCAAGACCGCCGGCTCCAATAACTAGGACTTTGCAGCCTCCACCCAAACGACTTGCTTCGCGGAAACACGCAGGGTGGTTCGTCCAAGGAGTCCGCTGTCTCTGAGGTAGCTGATGGTCTCTGCCTCAAGAGTTCTCGGGTACAACTATCAAGCGAACACGCACAGCGTGTATATAACTGGAAAGGACTATGCAGTGGATTATATATATATATATATATATATATACATGTACACACACACGCATCTACGTCTCCATCTATATGTACAGAATACAATAACTGGAACGCAAGTTGCATCTTATCGCTGCTTCCCCTCTTCTTGGCTTCCAGCCCCGGGCTCGAAGGCGTCCGGGTCCGCAAATGGGCTCTTTCTGGAAAGAACCCGGAAGACGTGCCCATGCAACTGGCCTCCGAAGGTGCTCGGATTCCAGTCTTGTTCGACTGATGGTGATGCGATGTCTAGATTATATAATGTCACATGTCATCTCGGACTCTGGGGCTCGTGCTACCAACCTCGGGCATGGTGCGGGCCTTCTCTTGCCAGAAGAAGTGAGGTGCAATAGATGTAGTATACCAGTCGCTTGCGCACTTCTGAGCCTCCCGGCCTGGGTCGCACCGCGCCCCGAAATCTCAAACACACGGGGACCCGAGCATCTAAGGAGTCTAGAATCGACAGGCCGCTCCCCAGCCTCTACGCTTGAAGCTCTGAAGGACGACAGCACACGAGATCTTCCCTCAAGTTCAGCCTGGACTGCTGCCTGATGCTAACACAGCCAGGAAGCAAGGATCTGCAGAGGACGTACTTTTTCTAAGTGGGAATGCGGCGTTCCTGCAGGGTTCGTCAAACCTGGATCCCGAGGCGCGCCAAGACCTCCTCCGCGGCGCGCTCGCCTTCTTCCAGCGCACCATGTGCAAAGCTGCCCTTGGTGGGGTGGGTGGCTTCCCCAGCCCAGAAAAGATTTCCGCAAGCATCCCCCAAGGCACTGCGGAGGTGCGCAGTGCCGACGGGGCAGTAAGAATAGGCCATCTTTGCAAAGGGGTCGTTGTCCCATCGGTGGACTTCGCTCTTCAGGAACAGAGCATTCAGCTCCGACATGGGCTTGCCGAAGATCACACTGAGCTGCCGCAGGATTTCTGCGGTCATCTCTGCATCACTCATGCCGAGGAGATGTTCGTTAGCTGTCCGTCCTCCGAAGTAAGCCGTGAGGACTCTTTTGTTCCGTCCGGGCCAAAACACCTGAGAAGACATAGAGTGGAAGAGAAACGCCATACGTTCGGGCCAGAAGCTTTCTTTGAAGTTCAGATAGACCGTCGTAGTTACCCCTCGGCCAAGCCGCTCCACCGCCAGCCTCTTGCTCTCGGGCAGCTGGGGATCGAAGGTGATATCTGGAATACACGCCAGCGGCACGGTGATCACAGCCGCACGCGCTACAAAAGAAGTCTCGCAGCCCTGGCACTCCATGCACACCCTGTCTCCGGCCCACTTCACCTTGTGAACGACCATCGATAAACTCAAGTCTAAGTCGTTCGCCATCTTTTCCGCCAAGCCTTGATGCCCACCCACGATCTTCCAGTGCTCCTCGTCTCCATCTTCATCCAGAAGGCTGGGTCGTGCTTTCGCAAGTGCCTTTATGCGATCGCTGTACAGGTCATCCTCATAGACGCCCACGTCAGCGAGGTCTGCTGCATGCCATTCGGCCATCATCCCTTCCATGAGCCTCCGCTCATCATCTGTTGGGGGATGTTCGAAAACACGATCTGCAAGCGACTGCATGCTGACATCCTCGCGCCCGGCTTCAATCCACTCCTCAACTGCCTCTGCAAACCTGTCAAAGAATAATCTGTTCGGTTCGGTGTGTACCTTGTCGGGCCCACGAAGCTTTCCGTCGACGTAAACCCAGCACTCGGGCCCACCTGGGACATTCGATGCCCAACCGTTGGCTGAGCCGTCCGTTTGCATGTTGAAGCGCTTCAAATACTTCCAAGTTGTGACATGCTGCCCATGCACCCAATCGGCACCGCCTCGCGATGCCCTGCCGCCGACAAGGCCACGTGCTTCCAGCACACGCACCCGGACACCATAGTCCTGCAGCCGCAAAGCGCAGGCCAAACCTGCGAGCCCAGCACCAACGACCAGCACCTCTGATTCTGAGCTCGATCCGGCGGAATTGGCTTTGATTTTCCTTTCGCCCGGCCCAGGAGGCCAGAATTGCTCGAAGCACGAACAGCTGACCCCCATGGCTGCAAGTCAGGGGACTAGACCAAGCATGCCTGTGCGCCGCCCTTTCCGCCTATCAAACTCCTACTGTCTTAAGAGTGGACACTGTCTGGACCGGCCTCAACTAGCTTTCCTCTCGTCTCCGCATCTCAATCAACATCAGTATCTTTCGCCCATTGCCGGTCTGATTTGAAACCTACAAGAACCAATTGAGGGGAGTCCAAGCTCCATGGAAACTCTACTTGTTTTGCAGCCGCCCAATGCTCAGACGAAGAGGACACAGAAGTGAGTTGGAGTTGCAGGCCAAAAGCGAAGGCGGCGAAGGCTGTTTTCTGGCAGCAAGCTTACGTGGGGTCTGGGCTTTTCGGTTGAATCTGCTGGGCGATACCCTGACACGTCATATGGTGAAGTTGGCAGAGAATCAGCCGAACCTAGGCTTGCTGTCGAGTGTGGCCTGCTGGGCTTGTTGTGCTCGCTGGCGAAGACTTTTGAACGCTCCGGACAGCATGCCTTCGCAGCCACTGGCGCTCCACCAATGCTCGCCATGGAAAGCACGAGACATTGCCTCGAACATTGCCAGGATACCCAGCAGACTCGCTCTTCCACGGCGAGCCAGCCTGCGGGGCGAGCGGGGTGCGCCCGCAACCCGGACTCAAGGACCCAGGGGCGCGGGCGGAGCTCTCCAACTTCACACCGCGCTTCTCTGCCTGACACAAGCATTACCCGCCCGAAAGTGCAGCTCTTGTTCTGTCCCGCTGTCTCACTCTGTCCGTGTCTTTTCGCCCCTATGGCCCTATGGGAGTGCAATTCCAAGGAGAGAGAGCCGCAAGAGACTCGGAAGCAGAGGGAGACAGAGGAAGAGGAAGAGAGAGACAGAGGCATCGAGAGACGAGAAAACAAAACAAAAACCAGAGAACGAGTGTCCAGAAGAATCAGGCGTAGAGCAGCGAGCTAAAAGCCGTCTCATCCTTCCATCTATCCATCCGCCCAGCTAGCTTTGCATCCGCACGTGCATCCATACATCCACCCATGTACCCATTCATCATTGATCCGTCCATCTATCCATCCATCCACCCATTCATTCGTCCATCCGTACATCCGTCCGTCCTTCTACGAACCCTGCTGGAAACACCTCCGTCTGCATGACACCCCTCAACCCGGGAAACCTTATTATGTAAACCCTGAAGAACCTCAAGTCCTGAACCTCGTCAGAAAGCCGTGAACCCTGAACCGCAAACTCTACAAAGCACGAAACCCGAAAGTTTGATAACACCCTACACTGTGCCTGACACCCAGGAAACCATCACAAAAGAAACCTCGAGCTCTAAACCCTGAAACACTCTCAGTCTCAAGGCCCCAACGCTTGCGAAACTCTACAACCTAAGCCTAATCCACAAAAACAGGCACCTGAAGCCCCAGGCTCTACACCACAAAACGTTACATGAAACACTTTCATCCTCAAACCCCCCAAAAATCCCCCAACCGCCTAAGCCGGAAAACCAAGATCCAAGAAATCTCGAGCTCTAAACCGTAAAACACCCTAAATCGTCAAACATGTTAAGCTTCATCAACCCTGAACCGTACCGCCCGTGAACCGGCAGCCCAACAGTTTGACAAATACCCTCAATGCCACGACATATAGTTCCCGAATGGTACTGGTTCGGTTCCGGAATTGGCGGGCCCGGTTCCGGCATCCCGGTACCTGAATTTCTCGCTGGGTTCTTGAAGCTTCTGGGCAGGTTCCTAAGTTCAGTTCCTGAATTCCCTACAGAATGCGCTGCAACGTGCCTCGCGCTGCAGCGCCGCAGCTCCGCCAAGTACCACAGAAACTCGGGGCAAAGAGACTTGGCCCGTCAGTGCCTGCATTGGTCACTGCTTGAAACTTGCAGGGCGCCACAAAGCTCGGGGACCTCGAACAAGGCCGCGACGACCCCGCCCCCATCTGTCTTGCAAAGCTGGGCAGAGTCCCAGTCTGCCTCACATGATCCCAAGCCCCAAGCCCATGACAGTGCCCAAACGGTGCAAGCAGAAAAAGGCAGGGCCTCACCGCCCAGCACTGCCAGGTGCGCGCTCTCGGACTCCGAGATCCAGCCTCCCATGCTCTGGAATTCTTGGAACTGCGACAGACAGGGCGGTCCGGTCCGGTCCGGTCCGCCTTCGCCCCAGGCCTCGCTTGCAGCCGTTTGCAATTCCTGGCGTTCAAAGGCCAAAAACAAGCCCTCGGAGCGGACCCTCGCGAGCAGAGTAGCAATTCGCGGCCAGCGTCTTAGAATGACTGTGTGTCAACGTGAGTGTGCACAAAACCATCCAACCTGGAACACTTCTGCACCGAGGGCTGCGGTCTCTCCGACGTCCGAGGAGCTGTCCGCGGCTTTCACCTACTGCAGGTGAGCGAACCCGGACGCTCCGAGAGACGACGAAGCAAGAGCTGAAACGAACTCAGACATCGAAGCCTCCGGCGCGTCTTTGCCTTGTAAACGATATCAGCAGACATCACGGTCAGCCATCTTCCCGGCGGGCCAAGAGTGCTGTCATTCCGAGCCAGGGGCGTGCGCCCACAAGCCCCCCTACCTGCACATGTCGCAACTGTCTGATCTGTGCTCCCACCCCGGACCCCCCCGAAGTCTCGAACCCCCGCCTCCGCAATGGCGTTGGAGAGGGCGGCTGCCAGTCGCTCTGCTCGAGGCCGATCTTGAGATCCAGGCTGCCGACAATCGAAGGGCAGAGTTGAATAGACTGGGCGTCCGGCTCATGCCGGCACTGACCTGGGCCAGCCGTTGCCTCGGAACTCTGCGGTCTTCTCCTTTCAAGCGGTCCTTTTATCAAGACTCTGACAGTGAAGGTGGATGAAAATGAAGAGCATGGGGCAAGTGCTCCTCAGCCACAGGTGCTCATGGCTCGGCCTCCGTCGAACGTTGTACTTCCACGCCAAGTGCCAGGCAGCTTCGTAAGCAGCACGTGGTCGAACATCCAGAAGCAGCAAACGAAGAGATGGCAGCTGCCCGGACGGCACGGCCTGCACGGAATCCTGACAAGCTTCCACCAGCTTGCACCGCTGCACTCTCTGTGCGTAATGTTGTGCACGGCCATCGCATGCCATTACCAAGCTCAAGGCCAGCAGCGCTGGATCAGAGGCCTTTCTAAGTCGGCTTTAACCATGGACTTCTTAGCAGAGTGTCTGAAATAGCTGCAGACAAGGCACGCGCACGAACTGCGCCAACACCTCCCTGGCCAGAACAACGAGCCTGCGCTCCTTGCCAAGCAGGCTTTCCGGAGATCAACGCCCATGACGATCAACGCCAGCAGCTTCATCATAAGAACAGCAGCAGCACCCAGATGATGACCGGTGACTCTCGGGCTTTGGTGGGTCATTACAGCACAGAGAAGACAGTGACAGCGGAGGATTCACTTGCAAATGTGGGAAAGCTCCGTCGTGCATCATGTAGTCTACCGTCACACCTGGCCCAGTGTTTCCGCGGAACGACTCCCGTGCCAACATCTCCGCATGATACGCGTTCCATAGCATTCGGACCTCCTAATAGATGGGTGAATCGGGTCCGAGCGGCATCTATCTGATCTATCTTCCTACATCTATGTAATATGCACAGTTAAAAATATAGCGGAATATATGTTTGTATTATATATGTATATGTGCCATGGACCTTTATGTATAGTTTGAGTCAGCCTTTGGTCGACTGAATGGGTAAGGCTTCGGCAGTTTGACATGCCGCTGCAACATGTAGTGACATAGTGTTTGGCTTCGTGTGCACCCGAAATGAGCGCCTTGCCGCAATCTAAAGTTGTCCGGGCCACAGGCCACAACATGACATCTTAACTGAAAAATCTTCTTCGATATATGTACAAGTAGAATAAGCCCCTAATCGATTGAATGGACACGGCCTTAGTCAGGCAGCTTGATCGGTGGGCGTTGCCTTTAGTGAAAAGAAGATAAGAGAATGTAGTGTAGAGAGCAAAGCGAAAGGAACGGAGCATGATTCCTTTATTCAAATTCACGACGCCACCGCCCACAACTCACAGCCAGGCACGAATCACATCAGGAGTTAGTTCACTTGGCTTCCTGGCAGTTAAATTATAAAACTATGAAGACAATCAGAGAAGTCAAATCATTTGTAGTTTAAGATAAGGAAACCGAATGAAATCATGCTTTGACTGTAAATGTACGGGGCTTTGTGATGAACGAAATAGTGACCAAGAAAACTAACCACAGATCCACCATCCGAGTTCCAGCCGTGAAACAAGTCCAAGTCAACACAATGAAGTCAGTCTTTTGTTTAGTTTGTTTTAGTTAATGCAAAGAAGTGAAAATAGAAAGTATGCGCGATTAAGACAAAAAACAGACAACATAGGAACGACATCACCCTTTACCAACAGTTATTTGTCTATCTATAATCTTTTCCGTCTTGGAGATGTGGTGATTGTGGAATGGAATGAAATGAGAGCGTGTTTGTTGCTCTCTTCAGTTCACGCACCACACATTCTGGAGACTTATATTGTAGGCTTAGATCTCTCTTTAAATGGGATCTTCTAATGATTCTAATGACAATATGACATCGAATCTTCTGACAACTTTTCTCTTGTAGGATCATGTCACGTGGCTGTAATTAAAAGAGCTAGATATAACAGGAAGAAAAGCGTGTTTCCTTACCTTTTATTCACATTAAATTGGGCTCTTTATGAACGAAACAAGGAACCCACAAGATATGAGAATGTTGCGTGTCTCATCTTATTGCAGCAAAGAGAAGCGAATAACGATTGCATGTTCCGTTGATTCAAAAAGATACAACACAATACGAACGGAACCAGAAACCAAGTCATTAATTTCCAAGGTGTCTGACGGTTTGTGTCCTACGATCAAAGCCCAAGTCAACCAACAGAAGTTTTCTGTCCATGAAGAGGCAATTTTGGTTTCATTTGTTTCAATTAAGTAACAGGTAGGTGACAGAAGGACCGCGGTCTTTTTCATTGAACAAAATGTGTTCTTTATTCCCACAAAGCCAAGG